CAGAAAGTGAGAAATCACCCCCGGGGAGATGCCATCAGTGCAGTCCCTTCTCCTCCATTCTCCTCTCAGGATTTTGGGCAGGCATGCACACATGCCTGGCGTGAGTTTTAAGCTGCCAGGTTCAGGATTTGAACTGTGGTCAACTATGTGGGAGTTCAGTGATATAAACATTATGCCATCTGCTGATCCCTTGAAGTTTTTTCTTTTTAATCTTATTTATTCATTACTTTAATTTGAACAGAGAGAAAGAGAGAGAGAGAGAGAGAGAGAGCGCACGTGCAAGCAACCAGGTCCAGGACTCGAACAGTGTTCAGTCAAGTGGGAGTGTCCAGTGCCCTAACCACCATGCCACCTGCTGGCCCCCAGTCCCCTGAATTTTTAATGGTTATGGGAAAACGCCCGTGGTAACAGGCCCCAAGAGAAGGCAGACACCACATTGTAAAAGTGAACGACGAGACTGGAAGGGGGATATGGGAAAGCAGAAGTCACAGATGAAACTGGTCTCCTTCCCAGGTCTGGCCCTAAACAGCGGTGTAAGGCAACATGTCTCAAGCATTTAATTGACAAAATAACAATCAAAATGTTTGAGTCTATAAAAAATAAGAACCCCCCCCCGCCCCCGTCTAAACGTGCAATCTAGTTAAAATAACACAGAGAACAAAAGCCGGTGAGGCCAGGCAGCCCTTCAGGCTCAGGAGACCCTGCACACTTGGTGGTCGGCTCCCCAAGGGTGGGAATCTGGCAGACACATCCAAAGGGGGAACTTTTCCTCTTCCACCTTTAAGCTTAGATATAAGGGCATCTAAGTTCCCTGGTATGCTCTGAGATGGACCCCGAAAAACTGACAAAGATGCAAAAGGGGTCAAATATGCCCAGACCACTTCCAAATGAACTATCAATTTCAAAGTGAATGAGGGTGTGTATTTGCTGGCTGCCAGAGACTAGCTGCACATGGAGGCTAGCGTGCCCACGGGGCTCACAGGGGCGCAGCTCATCCCTGCACTGCAGAAGCTCGCCCCTACCCCTTGCTCAGCCTCTCTGGATGGCAGATCTCAGTTCCAGTGTCACCTCGAGAGGCCTTCCCAAGGCAGCGAGTCACTCCCTACCGTGTCACCACCCACCAGCACTGACCTGCTCCCTGCGGCCATTTCCCCTCGTGGAAGCGGCATGAGGGCGGGAACCCTGTCTGTGATGTAGGACCCCATCCCTGCACTAGGAGAGCACCTGGCTCGTGGGAGGCACTCCAGTGTCTGTGGTGTCAATGAATAGATTCTGGATCAGGAGTCAGAAAAGGGTGGTTTTCAACTTCAGATGGCCGGTGGCTGTTGGTATCTCCATGCTCTGGTATCACCCACCCCGTTACTGTAACAGGAGTCAGTCTACCTGGGCATTCTTGTTACTTTTTTTTTTTTTTTTTTGTCTTTTGTGCGTTTGCCAGAAAGGCAGCAAGAAGGAAAGTGAGAAATCACACCCCAGGAGAGATGGCCTCACACCACAGTCTCTTCGCCTCCATTCTCCTCCTGGAATTTTCATTCGGCACGCAAGCACACACACCTGATGTGATTTTCAAGTTTTGACAGTAAAATACAATTACAAATAAACTGTGATAGAGCGGTGAGTCCATTTTTCAGCATTGCTGGGAAGAGCCATTCTCCAACAGGGCAAAGCTGTAGATCTAAGAACCTTTAAACACTAAAACCTATCTTCACTGGAAAAATAAAACATGTATGAAAACCTCAAGAAAATATGGATTTGAATTCTAGCTCTTCATCCCCATGTTTTGTGGTCTTGTGATTAATTTTACCTCCTATTGCTTGAGTTTCTTCATCTATTAAAAAAAAAAAAGCAGGGAGGGAACAAAACCCTCCTCCCCAGAGATTCTTATAAAGAATCTCTTTATTTCATTTAAAATAATGCACGTAGGGGCCAGCAGCGGCATGCTAGTTAAGGCACTGGTCTCTCACACGGCTGACCATGAAATAAGTCCCGGCTTAAAAATCACACCGAACACATGTGCGTATGTGCCTGAGATCCCAGGAGATCCCCTCAGAACGCAGGGGAAGGGATTGACCATGGCCATCCCCACTGCGGGGGGCGATTTCTCACTGTCTCTCTGCAAGCACACAATCTCTATGGTAACATAATGTTTATATAATGCTGGCATGTGGCAGACCCTAAAGACAAAGCTGTGTCACACTGGTGTGTTGGGGCTATCATTCATGCCCTCCTTAGAACTAGCTTTTGTATTTCATGCATCTGCTTAAAGTGTTGTGGGTTGTTCATGTGTCAGAGTGAGAAGTGTCACTTTTCCTCCCAAACCAGCTTCTCCAATAAATTAAAAAAAATATATATAAGAGACAGAGCACACACACATCTCCCCAGTGGGGCACGGTCAAGCTGTAATCTTTTCCCTCTGTTCGCTAGCTCATGAGGATTCTGGACATGCACACGCATGCACCCAGTGTGTTTTTCCAACCTCTGGGGCCGAGATGTGCACGGCAGTCAGTCACGTGGGATATAGATCCCTTAAGCACTGAGCTATGCGGCTGGCCCTAAAAGAAACTTAAAAAGAAAAGGCAGGGGACCAGAAGTTAGCGTAATGGCTATGTCGCTGGACTCCCACGTAGTCGACCGCGGTTCATGTCCCAGACCCAGTGGCTTAAAACTCACGCTGGGTGTGTGTGCGTGCGTGCCCAAGATCCCGAGAGGAGAACAGAGGAAAAGGGACTGCAGCGTAGCCATCCCCCCTGGGGGGTGATTTCTTGCTTTCTGTCTCTCTGTCTCTGTCAGTCTGGTGAGTACACACGCCCTATAGCAAAAACCTCTCCAGAAAAAAAAAGAAAAGGCAGGACCTTGCTCTGTTGTGATATTCCCGTCTCAGCCTCCCAGCTGGGACTAAAGGTGCACGCTACCATACTTGGCTCTTTTTCAGACGGTCTCTATGTTGCCCAGACTAGCCTTCATCCTCCAGAGTTGCTGGGATTATAGGAATAAGCCACCACTCCCAGCCTAGAATCAAAGCTAGGCCCCCACGTGGTCCCGGCCTGTAGAGCACAGTATCTTAGCAGTGTGTGTCAGCCTGACTGGGCAAAAAAAATTGAGAGAGATTTTTCCTATAGGGTGTGTGTGCTCACTGGAGACAGAGAGAGAGAGAGAGAGAGACAGACAGACAGACAGACAGACAGAGGCAGACAGAAAGCAAGAAATCATCCTCCAGGGGATGGCCACCGTCCCTTCTTCTCCATGCTCCTCTCAGGGTTTTGGCCATGTGTGCATATGTGCCCAATGTGAGTTTCAAACCGCTGAGTCTGGGACTTGAACCGCAGTTGGCCATGTGGGAATCTAGCACCACACCCACTATGCTACCTGCTGGCCCTGCGAAATTCTTTATTACATGTGTTAGACCAGACTATAAACTGGACCATTCTATCAGCAAAGTGGAGACCTGGAAAGCCACTTATACCAAATATAACAGCATTAGTTTTTTAAAAAATGTTTAAAGTTTTTGGTATAGGTTGTGTGCACTTGCCAGAGAGAGGGAAAGTGAGAAAACAGCCCTCTAAGGGGGGTTGTGTGTGGCCACAATCCCTTCTCCTACGTTCAAGTTCTCCTCTCAGGATTTTGGGCATGGACACATGTGCGCCCAGCATACTCTTCAAGCCACTGGATCCAAAATGAGAACTGCTGAGTACAGGCATGTGGGACCCAGCAACGGGAACCACCACACCATCAACAAGCCCCATACAAGTTATCTGACAACTAGTCAGACGCTTGAGGGCCAAATCTCACCACACTTCAAGCTAAAGATATGGCTTTATTTTTACATTTTTAAAGGGTTATACAGAACAAATGAAAGAAAAGAATAAGCAACAGAGACCTTAAAGTCTACAAAGTTTAAAATGTTGGCTATCTGGCCCTTTATAGAAACAAGTTTGCTGGCTCTTATCCTAGATGGCTAATTTGTACTGAATTCGTATTCTGTATTTTACAGTTTTGCTATATTTTTAGTACAGAACTTAATTTAAAACGAGATTCTGTTGTTTTAGTTAGAAGGTGTGTGCACTCGCCAGAGAGTCACAGAGGCAGCATCCCCAGTGGGGCGTAGTTACTACCCTTTCTCCATCCTGGTAGGATTCTGGGCAACCACACACAGCTGGTATGTTTTCAAGCCACAGAGCTGGGTTTTGAATCTCAACTGGCCATGTGGGATCCAGTTCCCTTAACCACTAGCTTCAGGGTCAGCCCAAGAGATTTTTGTTACTATTTAAAACAAAAACAAACAAACTTCAGGGGTAACCTTCTCTGAAGCCTTTCTCTGCAAGACTAATTACTAAGTGACTGTTCTTTTTAGTGGAGTGCAGTGAGAGCCGGGATGAGAAAGCAGTAGAGGGAAGCTGAACAGTCCTCTAGCAAAACACTTTCCAAGGCAGGGCAGAGGCCCTGGATGGCCCCAGATTCAGCAAGGCATGACGTTCCAGCGGGAGGTTGCATTGTGTGAGAACCTGGACTCCTCCTGCCTGGATGACTGCCCTGGAAGCTGGGGCCCCAGGCTTCAGGTCAGAATCACGTATGTGGTGTAGCCTTGGAAGACAGATCCAAGTTTGATTCTCAGTTCTGCCTCTTGCCTTAGATACGCACTTTCACCTTCTGAGCCTTCATTTCTTCATCTGGAAACGGGAACAGTCCTTATGTCTGCGAGGGTTTGATATGATGCACAAACCGCATGGGCTGCGTCTCACACCAGTAGGAGCTGTGCCGACGGCACAGACGTAGACTGGGCACCATTAAACCTGGGTACGGCAGCACCCTGCGACCGCGTCATCTCACACCTGACCCATTAGCAAACTAGTGCCCTGTGAGCTGCTGTGGGCGGCTCAGAACTTCAGGGAGAGGAGCCAGGCAATGGTTTCCAGGGGACCGCTTGACCTAATCGCACTCTCACTTACGACTGACCAGTGAAGTCACGGAGCTATAAAGTACAGAGGGAGACAGCAACTCACAGGTCTCGGTACTGGTCAAAGGCATTGTTGGCTTCGACCTCCAGCTTTCTCAGCCGAGCAGATGGCATGGCCCCATCTTCCAAAGGCGGGTCATACTTGTTACTCCATGGTGACCTGCAGAGAAGGGAGGAGAAGAGGCAAATGTGAATCATTCCACAAAGGCATGGGCCATGAGCAGTGAGCCCAAATCCCATCTGGCTACAACTTCTAAGGAAAAGCCCCTGTCACAGCCTCTGGCAGGCCCTAGTAAAGGTGTTTAAGAGTGTTTTCTGGAGGTTTGCTCAGACACAGGGAGACTAGGTATGGCCTTGAGCTTCTCCCCCTACCAGCTGTGTACTTCAAGCGGAGTCTCAGCTGTCAGCCCCATTGTCCTCAGGACTGAGTGAGGCTGCTGTGGGCAACAAAGGAGAAAAATCTATCAAGTGCTTCACCCAGAGCCGGACAGTATTTAATAAACGTTAGTTCTTTCTTGTTTTCTATGTTTCCTCATGGTATTGATCAACAGAAGTCCCTCACTCCTGATATGGGTGGCGTTGGATTAACTTTTACTCCAAAGATCTTTGTTTTTGAGGTGTCTGCCTTAGGGCACGTGCAGTAGCCAGAGAGGCAGACAGACAGACAGACAGACAATGAGAGGGAAAGTGAGAAATCACTCCCCAAGGGGATGGCCATGCCTTAATCCCTTCTCCTCCCAGGATCTTGGGCATGCACGCACATGTATCCAGTGCGTTTCATGCCACTGGGTTGAGTACTTGGAATGCAGTGGGCCATGTGAGAGTCTAGCGACAAAAATGTTAGGTCATCTGCTGGCCCCTCCAAAGAACTTCTTACATTATAACCATTAAAAAGAGAGCTGGGGGGGACCAGAAGTTAGGGTAATGGCTATGTCGCTGAATTCCCATGTAGCTGACTACAGCTTGAATCCCAGACTCAGTGGCTTAAACTCACGCCGGGTGCATATGCATGTGTGCCCAAGATCCCTCGAGGAGAATGGGGCAGAAGGGATTGCAATGTGGCCATCCCCCTTGGGGGGGGTGATTTCTCGTTTTCTATCTCTCTGTCTGTCTCTGTCTTTCTGGTGAGCGCACGTGCCCTATAGCAAAAACCTCTCAAAAAAAAAAAGAAAAGAAAAAGATATATAAAAAAAGAGAGAGAGAGAGAGAGAGAGCTGGGGCCAGCAGGTGGCATAGTGGTTAAGGTGTTGTGGCTGACTGCGGTTTGAGTCCTGGACCTGACGGCTTGAAACTCACGCCAGGTATGTGTGCGAACACACCCAAAATCCTGGGAGGAGAGTAGAAAAGGGACGGCAGATTAAAAAATAAATAAAGTAAAGCTGTCAGGGCCAGTAGGGAGCATGGTGGTTAAGGCGCTGGACACTCCCATATGGCTGACTGTGTGGTTCAAGTCTTGGACCCAATGGCTTGAAATCATACTGGATACATGTGTGTGCATGCCCAAATCCCTAGAGAAGATGGAGGAGAAGGAATTAAGGCACAGGATCTCTCACTTTCCCTCCCTCTCTGTCTCTCTCCTGCAAGCACACACGCCAAAACCTAGAGAGAGAGAGAGAGAGAGAGAGAGAGAGAGCGAGCGCGCACAAGTGCACACTCACAAGAGCTGTCATTTCCACAAACAGGCAGGAGACAGTGCTCCAAAGGGAAAGCTGACAACTCGGAAAACCTGAGTGACAGACTTCCCCAGGTGAACCAAGGACAGCGTTTCCTGCATCCAAGGGCCAGGCCCATGGATAACGACTGCAAGGTAATGAGAACCAGCCTCCCTTTCTGCAGCCCAGACTTGTTTTAGTTCTTAAAATGCATTTTGCCACATCAGGAAAGCATTTCATCACACCACACAGAGAACTGGGAAAGAAGTTATGAGGAAAAGTCCTCATTAATTTCTGCAGATGGGGTTCACAGGACTGGGGGTTCAGAGAAAGAAGAAAAATGATAAAGGCGGGAGAGAAAGACGACACTGTGGAACCTGTAGAAAGTCCTCTATGTCCTTGGTGCAAACACCTTAATGTCTCTCCGCTCAGTAACCTACACGGCCGCCCCGATTCTCCAGCAGACAACACATTTTCACATCACCGAGAACTCAGAAAGGCCTTTTGATTTTGGATTGCCGGTAAAGAAAATAAGATATCCCCACTGACACAACTATGGTTTTGTTTGTCTGCCTGAACTGCTAGAGGGTGTGTGCCTGCTGTGGAGGAGGGAGGGGGTGAGTACCCCTGGGGTGGTCACACTGCAATCCCTTTTTCCCCGTTTCTCTGGGGATTTTGGGCATGAGCACACATGCACCCAGTGTGTCAAACTACTGGTTCTGAGACTTGAACTGTGCACTCAGCAATGTGGGATCCAGGTGCCTTAATCGCCAGGCCATCAGATGGCCCCACTGAACTCCGGTTTAACAGATTCTGTTTGCCTCTTGGTAACTGATGCTGCACCCGGCACCCATGTCAGGAAACCACAACAAATACGGAACCAGAACAAACCGGTCGGCTTCCGAGGCCTAGCTTTCTCGTGGCTGGTCCACAGAGGGTTAAGTGGGGGGAGTCATCCTATTGAGTGTCCCACAGGACTCCTGACCACCCAAAGGCTCTTTCCAACTGAGCACCCCAGCCTCCACCTCCGCTCAGCAGTGCTGGCAGCCTTTGTAGGAAGTGAGCCACGTCCCGCTGCCCCTGACCAGCAGCCAGTCTCTGCGGTCACAAGGGAGAGCACGCACGCCACGGCAAAGAAACTGAACAAGCTCGGACCCCGATGGCTTGGAAAACAGGTGTGACACCGACACTGGAAACCCTCATATTCTCCCAGCAGGCCTCTCCCTTGCCAAACACGGCTGACAGGCCGGTTCTTGCTTGTGCTCACTCCCCTAAGACAGCGCTGCCTGAAAGAACGTTCTGAGACGAGGGAAACGCTCTCGAGCTGTCGTCCGAGACGGTGGCCACTAGCAACTGAGTACCTGAAATGTGGCTGGTTTAGCTGCAGGACTGACTGGAATCTTATTTCATCTGAACTAACTTAAACTCAGCCAGTGCTAGGACCTCGGTCTCAAGAGGGTCTCAAGAGGGTGAGAGCCTTTACTGATCCTGCTTTCTGCTGGTTGTAGAGCACCTGGGACAACGCCTCGCACCCAACCACGTGCTCATGAACAAACTGCTGTTAAAAGAATGAATAAATTCTTACACCATCTTGGGACCAGCAGTTAGTGTAACGGCTATGTTGCTGAACTCCCATGTGGTCGACCGCGGTTCAAGTCCCGGACCTGGTGGCTTAAACTCATGCTGGACGCATTTGCGTGTGTGCCTAGGATCCTGAGAGGAGAATGGAGGAGAAGGGATTGTGGCGTGGCCATCCCCCCTGGGGGGTGATGTCTCTCTGTCTCTCTGGTGAGCACACACGCCCTATAGCAAAAACCTCTCAAAAAAAAAAAAAAAAAAAATTCTTACACCATCTCCACCACGAAAGCAGAAGTAACCACTCCCTCTTCCCTGCACCCTCACTCCCACAAAGATGTTGATTCTTACACTTGTAATATTCTCTTTTTTTAAGTATATTTTTTGAGAGAGACAAAGGGACAGAGAAGGACCCCTGACAGAGACTCACCATGCCATGACCCAGGCCCTGCCCTCCACCTAGCCAGGATCACACGCATGCCCAGTGTGTTCAGGTCAATATGGGATGTGAAGTCCAGGCTTTTCTACCTGGCCACGGCATCATGCAGTGGTGCCCATCCCCGTGTCATTCCCCCTGGCCACACCTGTGATGTTTTTAACCGTCCCTTTGAGAGGGGAGAACCAGTGCTGTCTGCCACTGTGCCCCCAACATGGAGCCAGTGTCCAGGCAGAGCCATCGACAGGCTGACTTACGGCACCAGAGGAGAGGAAGGCCCACAGGAATTCTGCTGGTGGTCCTCCAATCCAACAGGGACGGAACAATTTTTTTGGCTGAGGGACATCCAAGCATTAAACAAACAAACCAAATCAACAAAGGCCTCTCACCAGACCTCGGGAGACCAAGATGGAGCTGAAGGATGCTGTCACCACCACTACTTGTGTGTAGACGGGCTCAGTTCCTCCACTTGCAGGGGACAGAACACGAATCTGGGCATGAATTCAAATTCCTTCCTTGCCCTGTGTGCTGCCTGTGAGACACTCCTAAACCAGATCGTTTGCAGTTAGACCACCACCGCCTTCCTGTGGGCCTGGAAGACCCAACCCAACTGGCTTTCATTTAGCGGCAACCTGATTAGACACGAGAGCCCATCGCCTTGCAGACTGGGGACCTGGAATTTTCAAGAAGCCTGTAACTCACATTTCTCCCAGCTCCCAGATGACAGCATTTCAAGCTGTTAGTCCTGGAGCCGGGGTAATCGTAGCTGGGGGAAAATCCTAACATTGCCCAGAATATTCTTAGTGGCAGGGGCACTGGGAACACATTTAAGAGCTTAAATAGAGGCCTTTTGAAAAAAGACAGATGGACAGGAACACTTAGATTTCAAAAGTCAGGCCTTTCATTTTCCTCCGAGAAGGCTTTTTGTTTCAGCTAACAGGTTTCAAGCAGTGCTGCTGGCAACAGCCACGGCATAAGGATCTTATTTAACAAACGATCAAACACAGGATGGAAGTGTGCGGAGAGAATCAGAAGACCGTCACATTTCATATCAAGAAAAGGAGGAAGGAAATCCAAGCTCTCTGCCTTGACATTCCAGGTGCCTGAGGAACGCGAGCGGGCATAGCAGGGTGAGACCTGGAGGGACTGCGGGTACCAGATCCCCAACGGGAGCCTGGCCCAGACATAGAAACGATGCCATCTTTCCAGGGGTTCCTGTGAAACAGCTGCTGTACGCAGTGAGCCAGAGCTCTCAGCTGGGAAAAAGAACTGCAATAATGATGTTGAGTAAGCAAGACTCTCTTCTGGGACCAGCAGGTGGCGTGGTGGTTAAGGTGCTGGATTCCCACATGGCCAACCATGGCTCAAGTCCCATACCTAGTAGCTTTGAAAAAATCACACCAGGCATGCATGACCAAAATCCCAAGAAGAGAATGGAGGAGAAAGGACTATGGCATGCCTATCTCTTCTTAGGGGTCATTTCTCACTTTCCCCCTCTCTGGCATGAATTCAAATTCCTTCCTTGCCCTGTGTGCTCCCTGTGAGACACTCCTAAACCAGATCGTTTGCAGCCCCATGACAAAACATTCTCACACAGGGAACCAGCAGTTAGCGTAATGGCTATGTTGCTGGATTCCCACGTAGTCAACCATGGTTCGCGTCCCGGACCCGGTAGCTTAAAACTCACACCGGGCGCGTGTGCGTGCGTGCCCAAGATCCCGAGAGGAGAATGGAGGAGAAGGGATTGCGGCGTGACCATCCCCCCCTGGGGGGTGATTTCTCGTTTTCTGTCTCTCTGTCTCTCTCTGTCTGGCGAGCGCACGCACCCTATAGCGAAAATCTCTCAAAAAAAAAAAAAGAAGAAGAAGAAAAAAAGAAAAAAAAAATATTCTCACACACACACAAAAAAAGACAAGAAAAAAAAACAAGACTCAGTTCAGGAGCCACTTCATCTAAGAAGCCTTCCCTGAACCCCATACCCAGTGGGGGTGCATCTGCCTGTCGACGTCTCCCTGGCCTGTCAGCCCCTTTCCACCTTCACTGGACTTCACTCTCCAAGGGCAAGCTGACACTTCCCAGGAGGCTTTGCAGAAGAACCACACCATGCCCAGCAGAGAACAAGTATTCTAGGGGGTACCCGATCTCAGGGCTGAACCACGCCTCTACTCCAAGATACCTTCAGCGTTGTCTCTGGCCAGACTGCTTTCCTGAACTGCACACCATCTTCCCACATCCGTATATCCAGACAGACACTGCTGCTTTGGTCCAGTCAGCTTCAAGTATCCCCAGACCAGCTCCTCCCAGAGTCTCCCCACTTCAGTCAGCAGTGACTCCTCACTTCCAGCTGCTCAGGCCCAAAGTCTGCAATCACCCTTAACTCCCCTGCTCTCCCCCACCCCACCCTACCACAAATGCTGCTGGCTCTCCCTTCAAACCTAATTTCTTAGTCTCTACTCTAGTTGCTGGTCTGGACCAGGGTGAAAGACATTCTCTACCTGACTTCCTCTTCAAGCTAAGAAAGGGACGTGATTATCAAAGTTGTCCAGTCTCTGCGGTTCATGTCCTGGACCAGGTGGCTTAAAACTCACGCTGGGCGCGTGTGCGTGCATGCCCAAGATCCCGAGAGGAGAATGGAGGAGAAGGGATTGTGGTGTGACCATCCCCCCTGGGGAGTGATTTCTTGCTTTCTGTCTCTATGTCTCTCTCTGTCTGTCTAGCAAGCACACGCTCCCTATAGCGAAAATCGCTCCAAAAAAAAAAAAAAAAAAAAAAGTTGTCCAGTCTCTGATAAAGTCCATGTTTGGTCCATCAGGGGGAGTGGTGGCTAAGGTGCCGGATCCCACAAGGCTGACTGCGTGGTTGAGTCCTGGATCTGGCGACCTGGAAAACAGCAAGTCATGTGAGCCTAAAATCTCAAGAGGAGAACGGAGGAGGATTGTGGCATGGCCACCCCCTGCTGGAGAGTGATCTCTCACTTCCCCTGCCACCCTGTTTCTGACAAGTACCTGTACCCCATAGCAAAAATGGGGGGAGGGGTGTGTACTAAACTTTTTTAATACAGGACAAGTTCGGTGCTAGTAAGCACTTCACACGTGTCATTTCCTTCTCTCACCCAGTAACCCTGTACTAACTCACTCTGTGACTCTCGGCCTGCCTTCAAGCCGCCCCTGGGTCTGCTCCTGACACACCTCTGACCTCACTCCCACCCTCACCTACCTCTCTGCACCTTCTGCGGGCTCCATCCTAACAAGCCCCTCTACCCAGGGTCCTTCTCCCTGGCCTGTGTGTTCATCCTTAAGTCACCACTTATGGGACAGCCTTCTAGTCTCTTCTCCTTGTCTTAGTTTCATTAGTAACACTTTCACAATCTCTGTTGTTTATCCATATCTCCTTTATTTTTATTTTTATTTTTTTGTTGCTATAGGGTGTAGGCACTCACCAGAGACAGACAGGACTGGAAAGTGAGAAATCACCCCTGGGGGGGATGGCCATGTTGCAATCCCTTCTGCTCTAGTCTCAAGATTTCGGGCATGCACACACACTTGCCCAGTGTGATTTTTAGGCCACCAGGGCTGGACCAGATCCAAGACTTGAATCATGTAGCCAGCCATGTGGGATCCAGTGCCTTAACCTCCACGTTACCCACTGGCCCTACCTAGCCATTTCTTACCGCCTGCCTGGCTTCCTCACTAGGATACAGTGTCCAAAGAACAGAGAATTTAAAATAGTACCTGGTATATAATGCCTGCTTATAAAAAGTTCCATTTTACAGATGAGAAAACTATGGGTTAGAGATAAGTGACCTGTCAAAGTCTCAGTGCTACAGGGAGCAAAGCCAGTTTGGAGCCCATGTCAGTCAACTACAGACATTTTTCCTGCTTCTACTTCTCAGACACCCAGCTCTCTCCAAAGAGGCTAAAGCTTTCAGATGCTCCAAAGACAGAGAGAGAAAGAAAACACCCTCCAAGGGACGTGATCACCCTGCAGTCCCTTCTCTTTCATTTCTCCATCCTCTTGGGATCTGGGGCATCCACACACATGTGCCTATCATTTTTTTTTTTTTGAAGAGGTTTTTGCTATAGGGCGTGTGCGCTCGCCAGAAAGACAGAGAGAGAGACAGAGAGACAGAAAGCGAGAAATCACCCCCCAGGGAGATTGGCCACACCACAATCCCTTCTCCTTCATTCTCCTCTCAGGATCTTGAGCATGCATGCACACGCACCCAGTGTGAATTTTAAGCCACCGGGTCCGGGACTCGAACTGCGGTCGACTACATGGGAGTCCAGCGATAGTCATTATGCTAACTGCTGGTCCCAGAGCCTGTCATGTTTATCAAGTCATGAGGCCAGGATTCGATCATAGTAGTTGGCCATATGGGATCTGGCTCCCTTTCCCACTAGGCTACATGACTGGCCCAGGATTCCCAACCTTTTAAAAACAGGATATGGGGACCAGCAGTTAGTGTAATGGCTATGTCGCTGGACTCCCATATAGGTGACCACCGTTCGCGTCCCGGACCCGGTGGCTTAAAACTCACGCTGGGTGCGTGTGCATGCGTGCCCAAGATCCTTAGAGAAGAATGGAGGAGAAAGGACTGCGGTGTGGCCATTCCCCGCTGTGGGGGGGTGATTTCTCGCTTTCTGTCTCTCTCTGGCGAGCACAGGCGCCCTATAGCAAAAACCTCTTCAAACAAACAAACAAACAAAACAAACAAAAAACAGGATAAAGTACCATGCACCCTTAAAAACCTAACTCAAACATCACTTCCTTCAGGAAGTCCTCCTAGAGTTGACCAGTCTCTCCCGTGCTGCCCCCATATAGTGAGCAGGTTTCGCACAGCAACACGATTACATCGTACAGTTGCCGACTGTGTCTGTCTCCTGTTCAAAGCAAGGTGACCAGTCACCTGGGGCAGGAACTCATGTTGACCTACTCTCATTTGGTGACAGAAAGAGGAAGGAGCACTGCATATCTGGTAGACTGCCTTCAGGTATCCCTCACCCACAGAGGCCCTTCCTGCTCTCAGGATCCACGTCGCAGCCCACCCTGGAACGTGCCCTTTGTAGGACTTAATGCAGTTGCAATAGAAGAGCTGTTTCTGGTAACATCTCTCTCCTGGACCGTGCGACCCATGGAGGGAGGGAGCCCTTTGTCTCGTGCTCTATCTCCCATGCTTAATGGAGGTGCCCACAAACACCTGCCAGCTGACTGAGCTGATGAAAGGAGGAGGGGAAAGAGGAGGGAAAGGAGTAGAGGAGAGGACAGAAGGACCAATGGGCAGAAGGGTGGATAGGCTGCAGCCTGTCCAAGTGCAGCATCCTTGTCCCGCCTGCGAGGCGGCAAAAGCTGACCCACGTGGTGTGGCTGGCATGCCTGCTGCGTGCCCAGGGCGTGTACTCACCTGTAGGAGTCCCCGTCTCTGTTGTAGTCACACAAAAGGTAATCCTTTCCCACCACCTTGTCTCTGGCAATCTACAGAGGCTGGGCAACAGAAGACAGGAGATCTTCACACAGACTGGGGACCTGCCGAAAAGAAAGGGAAAGGTAGACACAGTGGCTAAAACAACAGGGCACGTTCAGGTGGCTAGGGACGACTGCAGCCATGCTGTGGTCAGGATATTTAACATCTGGCCCTTGGCACCCGGCCAGAATTACGGGCTTGTTCTTTTCTTTTTCTCATGTGTCTGACACCAACTGTGTCCCTCCATAAAGAAACCCGTTCTTGAATTACAGTGGAGCGTGATTTGCAGTATGGTCCTCCTTCCAGAAACCATGTGCAGCGTAGCCTTAATTACCTGACCGCCAGGGTGGTCTAGCACATTTAAGTATGTATGCGCCTGGTATTAGTCTCTGGTGGGCAAAGCACAAGCTGAAGTCTGGAGAAGAAGATAAACATCACGAATACACAGGAATCCAAAGAACTCGAAGAATAACCTGTCCGTGCTGGAGAACTCCCACAGGCTCCCACGCTGGGTGGAGTTTCCAATACTTTCCAGGCCCCCGGCCAAGCATTACCAGGTTGGCGTCGTGTCAACCCTATCTGAGGCGGAGGCAGTTTCACGCCGGCTTTCCACGGCTCAGAGCCCTGGCTGGCTTGGGTCTGGCTGACCCACCCAGGAAGGATGGCCCCAAGATCAGGGATGGGCAGGACCAAATCTCAGGGCAAATGCTGAGTATTTAGAAACACGGCCCTGCTCATAACCAGGCCACTGGCCGCCTCCTCCCAACTCAAACGTTCACTTCCAACAACAGATCCTAGAGAGGAATGGCAGCACTTTGAGAAATGGATTCCTTCAGGCTTGAGTCACTTCCACGCTGCATTTTCAATGTGCTGACTTACTCAGTTCTTGGGCCTGGTTTTCTGACCCCCCCCCCCCCTCTTTCCCCGGACAAGGCGC